CTGTGGAAGGTATATATGATCAATCCTTACAGCTGATTTGTAGCCATATAAATGACTACATGCAGAAGAGGCCACTAGAAATAAACCAGATAACACCCAGCAACTGTTAAGGTGATTATGACAGGGCAGTGTGAAGCCTTTATTTGTCCATCTTTTCTCCCTCACTATGGGGTAAGAAAGTTCTGTCTTTGATCCTTTTCCCATGCTTTATTTTCATTGCTGTACTGGCATCTTTGCAGTTTCTTTTTAAGCTCTAATAGGAGGAATGTTGCTCTGTCCACCTGTTTGAATGTTCAGAATTCAGGCTTTGAAAGAGTGAGGGATGTATGAAACATCCAGTCAGTGGAAATCTATCTTGCCTTTGCAAACAGGTATTAAAGCAGGGTAGTGAGGGAGGCTTGTATCATGTGTTGAGTGGTGTGTTGTTGTAGGGATGTAAAATCCTAGTTAAACATATTGTTCCAGCTGGAACAGCCCCTACCTGCAGGACGCCTGAACCTGTGTGGACAGAAACTTCTCTGGTTAGAGCAGCCCCTGCCTGTGGTATGCGAGGGCACCCTGCAGGAATGGGCTTCCTGTGGGGCTGGAGCAGACACGGCTTCAGCCCCTGTCAGTTAACCGGTATACCTCACTCGTTAATTGGTTAAACATTCACATCTCTAGTGTGTTGTCTGCTTTATGCTTTGCCCAAGCAATACTTGCAACTCAGTCTTCAGATTCAGAATACATTTGTGCAGTCCCTTTTATTGGAGATAAACGCCTTTAGCACTTGGTTGTGTTGAAGCAATGCTCACTTGAAATCTAGTTTATTTTACAGTCAATAGTTTAAGATCTTGCACCTACTACAATCTGCAGACTTTCCTAGATTTTAAAATCAGGGCTGTCAATTGACCTGCATTAACACCTGCGATTAATGCGTTAAAAAAAAAAAATGGTTAATCCTGTCCTGTATTAATCGCAGCCATTTATGCTGTGCTTCCCCTTTGAAGTGCCGGTCTGGAAGCAGAGCCGAGGGCCAGCTAAAGTCCCCAGCTGATTCCTGGCTCCACAGTTGCATAGCCCCTTTGAAGTGCCGGAGTGGCACTGCAAAGGGGCTTTGCAAAGCGGAGCCGGGGATCAGCTGTAGTTCCCAGCTGATCCCAGGCTACTAATGTGCTGCCTGTGGAAGCCCTGCAATGGCATTTCAAAGGCAGGGTGCACACGATTAGTCGCAATTCAGTTTTTCATCGTGCGATTAATTGTGATTAAATTTGTTAATCGCTTGACAGCCCTATTTAAAATATTTATCTTCACTGTTGCTGTGCAAGAGACTCTTGCAAATAAGGGAGACTAGGCAAAGTACTGTTGAATGTCAGTGTAACAGAAGAAACAAGGAAGACTCTCAAATCAAAGTTAATCATAGGACTTGAAGGGATTTTAAGAGGTCGTCTATTCCAGTCCCCTGCACTTATGGCAGGACTAAGTGTTCTCTATACCATCCCTGGCAGGTGTTTGTCTAACCTGCTCTTAAAAGTCTCTAATCAGGGAGATTCCACAACCTCCCTAGGCAACTTATTCCAGTGCTTAACTACCTTGACAGGCAGGAATTTTTTCCAAATGTTCAACTGAAACCTTCCTTGCTGCATTTTGAGCGCATTGGTTCTTGTCCTATCCTCAGAGGCCAAGGAGAACAATTTTTCTCCCTCCTTGTAACACCCTTTTAGATACTTGAAAGCTGCTATCCTGTTCCCTCTGTGCTCTCTTTTCCAAACTAAACACACCCATTTTTTTTTTTCAATCTTCCCTCATAGGTCATGTTTTTCTAGATCATTTTTGTTGCTCTTCTCTGGGCCTTCTCCTATTTGTCCACATCCTTCCTGAATTGTGGCACCCAGAACTTTACCCAGTACTCCAGTTGAGGCCTAATCATTGCAGAATAGAACAGAAGAGTTACTTCTCATGTCTTGCTTACAATACTTCTGCTACTATATCCCAGAATGATTGCTTTTTTTGCAACAGCGTTACACTGTTGACCCATGTTTAGCTTGTGACCCAGTATGACCCCAGATCCCTTTCTGCAGTACTCCTTTCTAGTCAGTCATTTCCCATTTTGTATGTATGAATCTGATTGTTCCTTCCCTAAGTGGAGTACTTTGCATTTGTTCTTATTCAGTTTTATCCTGTTTACTTCAGACCATTTTTCCAGTTTATTTTGAGTTTTAATCCTATCCTCAAAAGCACTTGCAACCCCCACCAGGTTGGTATTGTCCACAAACTTTAGAAGTGTACTCTCTATGCTAATATCTAAATCATTGATGCAGATATTGAACAGAACTGGACCCAGAACTGATCCCTGTGGGACCCCGCACATTATGTTCTTCCGGCACTGATGACCACTCCCTGGAAATGTTTTTCCAACCAGTTTTGCACCCACTTTATAGTCGCTCCATCCAGATTGCATTTCCCTAGTTTGTAGCAAAAGCATTACTAAAGTCAAATATATATAACCTTTATCTCTTCCTCCCTATCCAAAGCACCTTGTCAAAGAAGGTGATCAGGTTGGTTTGACGCTATTTGTTTTTAACAGATCCATGCTGACTGTTACTATCTTCTAGATCCATGGGGTCCAGCCAGTTCTGAAGTAGTAGCCTCTATAGTGGCTACTGCTATAGCAGACTAGCCACATTACTCAAGCTAAGTAGCTGCCTCACTCAACCAGCCAAATAGCCATGTGTTGGCTAGAGCATTGGACACCACAGCCAAATAGCCATGTGTTGGCTAGAGCATTAGACACCACAGTTCTAGATGTTTGCAAATTGATTGCTTAATTATTTGCTCCATTATCTTTCCGAGTATAGAAGTTAATCCAACTGATCTGTAATTCTTCGGTTAGTCCTTCTTTCCCTTTTCCTCTTTAATGCAGAAAAGTAACTTTTTCTAAAATGTTAGCAGTCTTCTTGCCAAAATTAAAATAAGCCTATTTGCTGGATACCTAGTTGTGGTCCTCTTACTTAGCTCGTCGGTGATTAAGGATGACTTTTGTCCATTTCAGTACTGACAGAGATTTTTTAGTTCTGGTGTTTGCTGCAACTCAAGGATCTGGACTCTTTATTTACAAATTCCTGGTGTTTGGCCTGCTTGTCTGCTTTCTTTTAAAGTTCAGCTCAACAGTAGAGACTTGATTTCCTTCTCTGGACCCTTTCACAAATTGTTTCTTACCCGAACTTCTGAATATAGAATGAAATTCTCATAGATCACAAATTAATCCAAACAGGATTGCCACTTCACGTGATATTGGAAAAAAAAATCACTATCAGCCAGTGATTTCAGGTCTCACAGAAGAATAAATTTGTGGTGTAGGTAGTTTCTTGATCCCTTCTTCCTTTCAGAGCTGCTCTTTCTAATATATCTAGTAAGGGGGAATCTGGCTTGTGAAAGGAAAGCATGATCATACTAAAATGGTGAAAGCTCCAGTAGAATTCTTATTACATAACAGCTTCTCCCCATCCATTGACATCCCAGTTTGTACAAGTTACTGATATAGGAGTATATCAAGGATTTCAGCTAGAGGTGTTGTGGTGGATTGTATGGGAATAGGTCAGATGTGGAAATGTCTATGATGTAAGATATGGAGTAAGTATCAGAACTGCTTTGAAGCCCATCAAGAAGAACAAATGCTCTTTCCTCATTGTCGCTTAGGCATAGGGCATTGGATGGGCCCATGAGGACCAGGAACTGGAGAAGTAATCAATGGAATAGGATCCACTTGGATACATTAATGGAGTAGGATGGACTAGAGGAGTATGATGCAGTAATAGCTTCACTCCCTTTGTTCCAGACCTCATTTGTGATCTCGATTGACTTTTTCCCCTTTCTTTGGTCTCTTCCTTTGCAGGCACTGGGGAAAGTGGGAAGAGCACATTTATCAAACAGATGAGGATAATTCATGGCTCGGGCTACTCGGAAGAGGACAAAAGAGGCTTCACCAAGCTGGTGTTCCAAAACATCTTCACTGCCATGCAGTCCATGATCAGGGCCATGGAGACCCTGAAAATCCTATACAAGTATGAACAGAATAAGGTGAGCCAATGTGCAGAGCTCCATTAAGCTATTGTTTCATCGCTTGGTGGATTTGTTTCATGTTTGTTGTCATCTTCTGAGGGCTTTTTAGTGAGCAGAAGACTCCAGGACACAGTGGAAGGTTCTTGCCGTGTATTTGTACTGGCTTTTGTACTGTATCCTTTGCCTGCTCAAACTTCTGGTATTTGGCCCTGTATGGCAGTTGTATCCTCAACTGGTTCTGTGATGCTGTGTGGCTCTGTGGTTTTATTATAGGGGGCATTACAGTTTTTATTTGCTTAGCTGTGTCTTTTCTCCTAAGCAAGAGCATCCTGAAAACTGCTTTGCTTGTCCCACATAAAAATTTCTAGGGGTGGGAACTGATCTGTAGAGCCCTCAGATTCATGGATATCCATTGCTCATATTTTTGGATATAGATACCAATTTTGATCTGCACAGAGTTCTACTGATTTGCATCCACACACAAAAACCAAAGCATTTAGAATGTATGCAGGGCCCTCCCTAGAGGACTTGGGACACACCCCCCCAGGCTTTGGTCCCAAGACAACCCCCCACTCCGCACCCCTGCCTCACCTCTTCTCTCAAGCAGTGCTTGCCTGGCGTGGTGTGGCAGCAGGTGTTGGCACCCCTTCCACACTCACCATGGCTGCAGGAGCAGCCTGACTGCCTTTTGTGCTCCACCCTCTGCCCTCTTCTAGGGATATAAGGGACTAGTCAGATAGTTGATATGCTAGTTGACTAGTTGCTTTCCCACCCCTTGCTGCCTTTATCAGAAAGAGACAGCGAGGAGGAAATGCTGGGGGGAGCCAATGTAAAACCCAGCCCCCTCCCCCACCCCACCCCGCTCCAGCTCTGTGGGAGAGGACAGGGGCGTAGGGGTGGCACTTTACCTTTGAAATGTACAAAAGTTCCCACTGGGGCTCTTGTACATTTCAAAGCAGAAGTGCCGAATGGAGCCTGGGGCCATTGGGACCTCTGAATCCTCCGCTGGTTCCAGGCTCCATGTGGTGCTTTCACTTTGAAATGTAGCAACAGCCAGGTAGCTCTTGCTACATTTCAAAGTGGAAGCGCCCGTATCGGCTAATCCAATAGTCGATGGAAATCCCATTGACTATTCGATTAGTTGATTGATCTAACTTTAACATCCCTACTCTCTTCCAGCCTGTTGCATTTCACTCAATAATTGAACTGGGGCACTTAGGAAACAGAGCACCCAGGCCCCAGATACCACGATGAAACAGCGCGAGAGTGGCAGAACAGAGTGGAGCAGGCTACCAGGTTGCTCTGACTCCTGCTGCTGTGGAGTGGGGAGGGGCGCAATGGGGGGGGGCAAATTGCAGGGCCTGGTGCAGTTGCCCTCAACTGTCCTATGGATGGGATGACTGTATGTATGACAGGTGTCATTGCACAGTGCCTGAAGGAATATAAGAGCTACTGTAGGGCCCAGAAGATTGCACTGTTAAAGTGATACCTCCTATCATCTACAGCTGGTGATCTGTCAATTTTCCTTTTTACAAATTCTAAAAAATGGCTAACACCACATACATTTTGATCTGGGATGAAGTTTGATTTACAATATTTTAGGTCAAGGAGTAAACTTTTGAGTCATATGGCTTAAACTAGTTCAGCTGGCTTCAGGGCTTAATGCAGATGATTTTGAGTGAGCGTCAAGAACTTAATGTTAGTATCTTCTGTTATCTCAATACTTAGTGGATTTATTTTTTCGAAATGAAATTCAGCAAAAATAAAATCACGTAAATTGTACGTAGCTGTGTATTAACTTTTTAATAGCTGGGAGGCTCAAGGCAGTTAGTTGAATAGAATACAGCGCCTTCCTTCTCTAGATCATTGGTCCAAAATGAGGCCCAAGTCTGTATAGACTTGAAGATGTCACTATTGAATGGCAAAAGAAAAAAGATTCGAAGGGCTCAGGTGAGTTCTTAATAACCAGATATCCACATCACAGCTGCCTCTAACTGGCCATTTTATTCACTTTCTCAATAGAGAGGCCAAAGACTGAATGGTTCTTGAAGGCTGAAACTGCTCTTTGGCCTTTAGAGAATCTGTCTGAGTCAGTGCTAAGGCATGGGCATGGTATGAGGATGCTTGCATTGCCCGTGTTTTCTTAGGGATGTGGTTAAAGGAATCTAGGAGCTATAATCTGTCCCCTTCCACTAACATGTAATATACTAGATTAAATTTCCTTTTTGAAGATTAGTATATGTGGGTGAACAAATTGCTTCTCATTGCATCCAGAAAACCCTTAGGAATTGCAGTATTGGTATGTATATAGTATTTCTATTCATACAACAGGCTGCAGTGATTACTTCTGTCCTGCTGCACTTTGTAGTGTCAGTTTTTTGTTCTTATTTTTTTCTTCCATAAATGATCATAGCAGAATACTGTAAGATGTCCAACACCATCAAAACATAGTTTAAATCCTTAAATGAAACACCAGACAGCTATGTTCTGGTAATAAAACTGACTGCTCCCCAAAAGTCAGGCAATCTGAGACTCCACACTTTCAAAACTGTGCTTTGGTTTTGGTGTTTCTAAACAGTGGGTGACTTAACTTACCAAGCTGTGTTACAACGTTAAGTTCAGCATGTCTCTGGCCATTTCTGTATAGTTAATATCTATTAAGGCTCGTGTGATGCTTCCAGGAGTTTTTACAGATGTGGCTGCTACTGAGTGTAAAATTGGTACTCAGATCTCCAACAAGAAAAACAATCGAGCTGATACTTTTTAGATGTGTAGTCTGCCCATTGCTGTCCTGTGCTGTTGCAGCTGATCTAAGCAGCTTGAGCAGCATGCAAGATGTAGCATTCTTGGAGCCCTTGGCAAGAGGTTCTAGGTTTAATGTATACTCACTTGTCCTTCACCCTTATATCCTCAGGCCAATGCACTGCTGATTCGGGAAGTGGATGTCGAAAAAGTCACAACCTTTGAGCAGCCATATGTAAGTGCAATTAAGACATTGTGGAATGACCCTGGAATCCAAGAGTGTTATGACAGAAGGCGAGAATATCAGCTCTCTGACTCTGCTAAGTAGTAAGTACATCAGCACTGTGGTGCGCTGCTGGATATCAGTGCCATATTGGCCTAAACAAAAGCTTCTTGAACCCTGTTAGCTGAAGTTTACAGATTCCTGAATATGGTTATCGCGCTGCAAACTAGCCCAGCTTGTCTGTCTCTTAGTTTCTTTAGACAGTGCTGGAATGTCTGGATGATCCATATGTTCTTACAGAGCCACCAGCTGCATTCCATGAGTTCTGTTGGGTGATAAATAGAGCTGTACATATTTCTGTCCCAGGATAAACAGGTAGCCATGCAGTGCCCACCCAGGTCATCCCAGCACCCTGTCCCTGGTTGACATGTAGTAGAAATGCCACTTTCCCCTATTGACTTAGCCTTCTTCAGCCATGGGATGAGGAGGACCAATATTTGAGACTTGGAGCTGTTTCAGAATGTCTGAGCGCATAGAGACTCTGGAAGATGACATTGTGTTGGATCATACAGACTTCTTTTTAATAACCAGAAGGGTTAAGCAGTTCATTTTAAATTAAACTGAATTATGCAGTAAACATTGGAAATGCTAAATCCATCCTATAACAAGGACTTTCTGCAGCCCCAATTTATGGAGACCTAGATGTTTCACACTTCTCATTTGATGCAACAAGTATGAGAGCAGCTGCTTGGATCTGCTGCTTTGCACATGGCCTGTTCTTTTCCCTTGATTGAGAGAAAAGTTGAATGTTTGATTGTAACTTTGTGAAGTATGACACATGGTGTTTACTATATCAAATGGGATTTTGGGGAATTGCTGCCCATTGGTAGGAGACAGTCTTAGAAGTTTCCATGTGGAGAAACCTATTAGGCCTATAGTCCATCTCCTTGGGATTTAGTGAAAGATTGTTCCTTGAAGTATGTCTTCCATTATTTGCTCCTGTCCCATTTTAAATGATCCAAGTGTTACCTCAAGCAGTCAGATTTCTTCTGGTCTCCTTAATGTGTCTTGTATGTGTATATGGTGGCAGGGGAGGAACCTATGGCTAGAATGAGTTCGAATCCCCTTGGCTACATCTAGACTGGCATGATTTTCCACAAATGCTTTTAACGGAAAAATTTTCCGTTACAAGCATTTGCGGAAAAGAGCGTCTAGATTGGCATAGACGCTTTTCCGCAAAATCACTTTTTGCGGAAAAGTGTCCATGCCAATCTAGATGCGCTTTTGCGCAAAAAAGCCCCGATCGCCATTTTCGAGATCGAGGCTTTTTCGCGCAAAACAAATCTGAGCTGTCCACACTGGCCCTTTTGCACAAAAGGACTTTTGCCCGAATGGGAGAAGTATAGTATTTCCGCAAGAAGCACTGATTTCTTACTTGAGATCTTCAGTGTTCTTGCAGAAATTCAAGCGGCCAGTGTAGACAGCTGGCAAGTTTTTCCGCAAAAGCAGGTGCTTTTGCGGAAAAACTTGCCGGTCTAGACACAGCCCTTGTGTGTGAGCTATGATCTTAATGTTTTTTTTCCTTCATATTCTTCTCATAGCTACCTTAGTGACGTGGATCGAATTGCAACTCCAGGATATCTACCAACCCAACAGGATGTGCTACGGGTCAGAGTTCCTACAACAGGAATAATAGAATACCCCTTCGACCTAGAGAATATTATCTTCAGGTACTGAACCTGTAGCCCATGTTACACTGGTGTTCTCAAGTGGGACTGAACTGGAGGAGGACTACTCTGGGCTTTTTAAACTATGGATCAAGAATATCCATGCTCTTAGCTAAGGAGGATGTAAGAGTGTGTTTGGGAAGAGGGGGTAGAATATTCGATGTGGTTCCTAAAAACTCTTTTGTAAACAAGCCAGGATGCAAACAGGAATGAGGATGCTCATATTTGCTGTCATGCTTCCAGGAAAAACAAACAGGCCCACCATGGAGGTGGCCATAGAATCAGAGGAATTCCTGTTATGCTGTCTGAGCACAATTGCTCTTAAAGGACACGTTACTATATTCTGATACTAGCTTCACTTGGAGGAAGAGAGTTGTGTTTTGTGCATATCTCAGTGCTTTGGGTGCAGGCAAAGAAGCTTCTCTTGACAGGCTGTTAGAGTCAAGAGAAGCTTGATAGTTTGTATATTTTTCTCTTTCTTAGAATGGTGGATGTTGGGGGTCAGAGGTCAGAACGAAGGAAGTGGATCCATTGCTTTGAAAATGTGACCTCCATCATGTTTTTAGTAGCGCTTAGTGAATATGACCAAGTTCTAGTGGAATCTGATAATGAGGTAAGCCTGGACAGGAGTCTTTCTGATGTTCTTGGTGCCAAGAGAATGGAACTTGAATTAGCAATAATTGGTTTTTGGCCTTCAGCTTTTCCTAATGCTAAGAGAGAACCTTGGGGCGATGTGGGTCACAGCATTGCTGGAAACAGGGCACAGGATAGTTTGAAATGCACAATGTACTTAGATTATACAGAAATATTTTGATGATCAGTGGGTGTCCCACATTCTAGATTCTTGGTGCCAAGAGAATGGAACTTGAATTAGCAATAATTGGTTTTTGGCCTTCAGCTTTTCCTAATGCTAAGAGAGAACCTTGGGGCGATGTGGGTCACAGCATTGCTGGAAACAGGGCACAGGATAGTTTGAAATGCACAATGTACTTAGATTATACAGAAATATTTTGATGATCAGTGGGTGTCCCACATTCTAGAGTTTGTACCCACAATGAAAAGCCCTCAAGATCCAGCACACGTGTCTCTCTCCCTCCCATGTTAAATCTTCAACCCTAGATATTTTGTATCCTGGCAACCAAGCATTCTAGTGTATGGACCTGCTAGAAGAGCTGCTGTTGACCAGTGGCAGGCATTCCTTCCCATGAGCAAACACGTACCCCTGCTAGGAACCAATCTTCGTGATCCCAGATATCCCACGTGACAATGAGAAGCATAAAATGACTTGGGTCAATAATCTAGCACATTGGCAAGTAATTAAATTCAAGTCAGTCACAGATATTGCACTTGTGTGTGTCACATACTCCACTGAATCAAAACTTAAATGGAACACAAATTCCATGCAGGACATCAGATCTGGCTTTATGTGGATGAGTTTGTGTGCCTAGGATCAGAGATGGCCAGGTTTTCACAAATAACGTGTGTTGATACCGTTTGTTTCTTGCATCAGAACCGGATGGAAGAGAGTAAAGCCCTTTTTCGGACCATTATTACCTACCCGTGGTTCCAGAATTCTTCAGTCATACTCTTCCTCAACAAGAAAGATTTGTTGGAAGACAAAATCCTGTACTCCCACCTTGTTGACTATTTCCCAGAGTTTGATGGTAAGTGACTTTAAAGAGGACCTTTGAAACAAGAACGAGTGTTCTAAATAAGGGGTAGGGAAGGAAGCCAACAAAATATTAAATTCAGATGTGAGTGGCTTTTGTTTGCTGCTTTCTTCTGTTCGATTTACAATGAAATCATGCTATAAAAATGAATGTTACAGATTCAGTGCTGAATTTATTGTGGGGGTAAGAGGAGACAAACCCTTCATTAGGTAGAAATATTTTAATAAAGGAAAAGTGAATAAATCTGAATATCTTGATTATCATATAGCTTATGGATTGACTGAAAATATAGATGCACCCTTCTCATAGATCAGAAATTAAAGAAGCTGCCAAATGTCAGTAGAAATGCTGCTGCTTCTAGGTCTCCGCATGATTTCAGTTGAACTGTGATTATTTTGACTTCAGAGTATTTAATATCCATACTTGAAATGTGCATACAGATGTTCAGCTTGTTTGTAGACATGCAAGAATTTAATGGTAGGAGAGATGGAAACACAAATGAGACCATAAAACTTCTCCTTCTGGCAGAGCAGGGTACAACCTGGTCACACAAGCTAATACAGTAATTCCTCATTTAACACGGGCCTGCTTAACAACATGTTTTTGCGATAGCACAATTTTTATTTTTTTTTTGGGGTGGGGGAACGTTTTTTGAATTACATGACTGTCCCTGGAATAACACAGTTTCCCTAGCTGGCTCATTGACGGCAGCTGCACGGTGCTTCCTCCACCTCCCTGCAAAGCAGTGGAGGGTTCGCCGCGCCATTCCCCGCTGACTCCCCCATACTGGACGCCTTGCCCCCTCTCCTCTGCCCCCGCTTGTAGGCCGGCAGCTGGGTTGCCCCAGCCAGCCCGTCACCGGCGGCTGTGTGGGGCTTCCCCCACCTCTTTGCAAAGCGGTGGAGGGTTCGCCACTCACCTCACCATTCCCTGGTGACCCTCCCTTTGCCGGACGCGGTGTGGGTCCCAGCAGACCCGTCACGGGCATACTCCCAACCCAGTCCCTCTCCTCTCTCCTCCCCTTCCCTTCCCCAGAGCCAAACACTTCCCCTCCCTGTTGTAACCCAGTCCCCTTTCTCCCCCAACCTTATGTCCCGGTCCCAATAGACACCACCCCTTGAAACGCAACCCCCACCTTTTCCATTATTTTCAATGGGAAAATTGACCCCGCATACCACGTTTTCACTTAACACGATCATTTTCTGAAACATAGCTGTAGTGTTAAATGAGGAATTACTGTATATGGTCTGGTCAAATCATCCAAATCTTTTGTGGTGTTGGTGTTGAAAAGCTTGAGGCAGGGTAAAATCTCTCTATCTGCCATGGCCCATTTTGGGGCCAGTAAGCTCTTAAGCATAAACTGTGTGTTCTGCAACCTTTGATCAGTGATTTGGTGTATCTGCCACTAAATAGGCTGATGCCAAATCTGTATGGGATTGAAGGTGTATGGAGAACAGGAGAAGAAGGTCAGACAGCCTTTTTTTTCCTTAAGCCCTTTCATCCTAACTCTTAGCCCTTTGAGGCAACTAAAAACTATTAACAGGATAAAGGGAGAGCCACCTTTTTGTTGGATTTGGCCATAGTTCATTGGCAGCAGTTGGAGAAATTTCTGTCTGGAGGAATAAACAGGCAAGTTGCTTTCCTCACTATGGGCTTGTAACAAAACTGTTCCAAATTGGAAGAGATCTTTGTGATTTGTGGAATCGCTGTTTGCGGTTCTGAGTATTCATGGGCCTCCTGTCCCAGCTCGATAGGGTTACCAGGTGTCCGGTTTTGAACTGGACTGTCCAAAAGCTTTGAGCTTTCTGTCTGGGAAACATTGAGAAAATGCCAGACATAGAAATATCCACTTGCCACTTTGAAACCCTGCCTGCAATCTGGGGACACCCCAGCTGGCCCCAGGTTGTACATGGCATTTCAAAGCAGCAGCGTCACTCGGAGCCTGGGGTCTGGCCCCAGGGTCCATGCAGCGCTGCCGTTTTGAAGTATCCCTCCTTTGCTTCCCCTCCACCCCCCCGCTGCCTTTTTCTGATGGAGGCAGCAAGTGGGGGGGGGGGGGGGGGTCTGAAGACCATTACGGGTCCATCATGAATTCATTTGTCACGTGGTGCTGGATTCTTATCTTTAGCAAGAAAAGATGTTAAATCTTTTCTTAGTGTTATTTTTCCATAAGCAGTCGTAGCTACCAAAGGATGCTGTGTGATTGCAAATGCGATGTGGTTGGTGAGACTTTTGTTTCAAGATATGTTCTATGCTATGGAAGCAATATGAAAACTCCAAACACTTTAAATAGGCTACGGAGCATTCCCAGGTGTCCGTTTTGGCAAGAAGTGAGCACTGGTGGCAGCTGCAGTTTGTAGTTCATGGGCAGAGAGGAAATGCTACAGTTTGTCGTCATGGGAGAGCTTCTTGATTTTTGTTAGGCATGCAAGAAATAATAGGACCTCGATCTTGTGCTTCTGGGCATGAAATGATTACTGCAGGGGTCAGGAAGAAATTTGCACTCGGGATCAGCATTATTTCACAGCTGACTAGATAGGTTACAGAAGGGTGAGATTCTGTCTCATAGAGCAGTCTAGAGCAGCCTCTTGAAGCTTCTTACAACTTAGTATTCTGAAGCTTAAAAAGCACCTCCTAAGTTTTAACCACTTAGGTATAAAATGTTCTAGATCCCAGATGATCCCATAACTGAGAGGCAATGAGAGGGCTAAATTTCTTCTCCCATTTGGTCACATTGCCCCATCCTCACAGGTAGGAGGCTGAGAAAGCAAGCGAGCATTTCTGGGGTGGAATTGTGTTCATGCTGTTTACTGGTGCCTTTGTTTGCTGCAGGCCCACAGAGGGATGCTCAGGCAGCCCGGGAGTTCATCCTGAAGATGTTTGTGGATTTAAACCCAGACAGCGACAAAATCATCTACTCTCACTTCACATGTGCCACAGACACAGAAAACATCCGTTTTGTCTTTGCTGCTGTGAAGGACACCATCCTACAGCTCAACCTGAAGGAGTACAACCTGGTCTGACCTGCTCTGCCCTCGCCCCCTTTCAGGCCTCCTTGTGAAGAAAAGACAAAAGAAAAATTTAAAAATTACAGGAAACAAATCTTAATTTTTAATGATGTAATGATTGCAAATTGTCTGATCTGTGGAGTGGCGAATTTGCTCAGTGTTATCCTGGAGTCTCATGTCTCTGTCCACAGAGTAGTTGATTTCATATTTTTAATGAATTGCTTTTATTTCACAGTAAACGGGGAGGGGGGAGGAAGAATACACCTCACTCTTTGGCACCTTGTTCACCTCTTAATTTTTGTCTTCAGCCAAGGCAGCCTCATCTTGGGCTTTACTTTGTCGCTTAGCTGCTTTTATTTTCTTTTTCATTCCCATGGTATATATAGAGATCTATAACTTTTCTGGCCAAGATTGTAAATTCACTGGACTGTAGGAGTGTGGAATGCTACTGGTCCCTTTGCCTTGTGCCATAGGGTGCCTCTGGTGTAATTGTTAATCCTGCTTGCTTTTTTGTGCCCACCCTGCCCTCCCCAAGGACACGCCCCATGGTTCACTGTGATGAAATGTTGGGGAGGAACAATTGCTCTCCATCTATAGCAAAAAAACAAAACAAAACCCCACAACAACAAAAAAGCCATCACTTTTTCCATTCTTTGTATGGTTTAGTCTGGGTTACTTTTTTATCAATTATAAAAGGTATGGAGACTGTGATTTTTTTTTTTTAAATTATTGATGTGCTATACATAGTTTGCTACATATTGCTGTATTTTGTTTATGGACTTTAAATGAGGGGAGCTCTTGGAGCAATAGCTGCTGAGCCTGGGGAGAAGTGCCTGACTGTATTATTCTTTTAAAAAGTAGGTTCCATTTATGGAAAGAAACTGAGTGGAGTGTAAAGCATCAAGTGAGCGACTTCTCTATGCAGCGAAGATTAGAAGCTCACTGAGTAATTCTGTGGCATTGAAACATCAAATTGTGCCAGACTGAAGGCCCGAGGTGTCATATGCCACGCTCTGGTTCTCTTGCATGCTGTGAACAGCGGGGAAGTCCTCATTGCATTTTGTGCTAGCTGAGTGCATTTGTAAGAATGCTTCAGTCCTGTCCAGCTTGCGGATTGCCTAGAAAGGGCCAGAGTTGAGTGACATGGACTCTGAGATGTGGGGCGGATTCTTACTGCTTGAAAAGATTGTGAAAAGTTTTAAGGGACGTGGGGAGTTCTATTGCTCTTTTCCTGCCTGTGGTCTCCCTGATACAGATGCTGCTGTGGTTTTACTTTAGAGGAGCCTGGATTGTTTTTGGAACACTTGCCCAGATATTGCCTCTGGAGGTGCAAGGTGCATGCAGCAGTCACTTTTGGGGTGTGGAGGGATGGACAGACAGCAGGCTAGTAAAGAGGAAGGCAGCTGGGTTTGTTGCTACAAGTGTTACTGAAAATAAAGAGTGTTTTGGATTCTAGGTGCCATGTTGAATTCCACTGAACTGAGGGCTTCAAGGCCTTTTATCTCATTTTATAGGCTTCCAGAAGCCCAGTTGAGTGAGCTCTGCTGCCTCTTGTATCTGTCTAGAAGACTGTGATGGCAAAACAAGAAGTAAAAAAAAAAAAAGTGGAATCTACCCCACTTCTTGGACATATGTGAATATGGGCAACACTAATGGTTCTATTACAGTTTCAACAAGTGGCATTGGGTCCAGATTCTCTGGATACCCCAGATGCCCCTTCAGTGGCGTACAGACTGCTGATGGTAGTTTGAGGCTAACACAGGCCCCAACCTGCACTGTTAAAGGGGGTGTCTGCTTTTTGTTGTCTCGTTTATAGACAGAGCACTAAATCGGTGTTTTGCACAAAACACAATGAAATCGACTTGTTCCAGATACCTGTGATGGATAACACTAAGTCTGGAGTTCACACTACTTTCCAGTAGTTCTGTTTAGGGCTCCCTCAAGTTTTCCAGACTAGGAGAGGGAAGACCCTGCTGTATTTCACAGAGCACTACAGAAGAAAGAAAGCTCTGGGAGGCGATGCCTGGCCTTGTCAGAGTTGGTATTAGGGACCAACAAGTAGAGCCCTAGGTCTGGCTGAGAGTAAGACAGCAGCTGCTTGTAGAATAACTACATTCCTGATCCTGCCTAATGTTTAGGAGAAACAAGGGAGGGATTCTCTCATATGCCAGACAGCTTTGCACCAGTTTTACTGCATCTTGTCTTTTTGCCAAAACGATCTTTTGTTAGAAGTGTTCAATGAAGAGGATTTTATAATAGACGTGGGTCTGTTCTAAATGCCCTTCTTCTGCAACATGTAATGTGCCATCCTCCTGCTTCCCTGATCTTCTGAGTGGTTCCAATTGCCAGCAGTGGACCTGGTGCTGAGAGATTCAGATTCTTGCAACAAATGTCCCAGAGGTTCCTTTCCAAGGTTTATGATGATGGCTCTTCCCATTTGAATCTGTGCTGGCGTTGTCCTTTGACCTGCCAAGAGACGAGATGCTGACTAGGCACAGAAGGAAGGATCTGGCATCATCCATTGTGTGGAACAGGGTGAATTTGTCTAGCTGTGATGAATTCCGGAAGGATTTTGGGCTTTGGTAAAGATTGGAGCACATGCTGTTTACCTTTCTGGTCAGTTGCAGCAGCAGCAGCAGTGACTTGGTCACCAGTTGGGCATGAAGGTAATTGGGGTGGGGATATCATATGTCAGGGCTCTCCCACAAGATGTCAGAAATCTCTTCTGACCTAGAGAAGGAACAGGTCAGAGCTGTGCCCAAAATCCAGAGGTGGCTGGATGTTGTACCATAGAAGAGAAGGAAGCGGGGTTAGCCAGCCCCGGGTGATGAGAGATGTCCTGTCTGCCTTCATCTTGGATGGTGAAACATTCTTGCAGAACCAGTTCTTTTTGCATCTCTGGGGTGGACCCCAGTCAGATGCCTGCTCTAGTGAAAGTGCCAAATTGAAAACCAAACTTGCCTATTTCATCCTCTTTGGTGATGGGGCTGGTCAGGATTCCCCATAAACAAGGGATTGAAGGTTGGGACAAAAGTCTTTTGAGTAATAGGCTGAGGAAAGAGCCTGTTGTCCAAGCTCAGTTCATAGTGCACTTTCTTTTGTCCTGAAGAAACTGGCCTGCCTCCAACAGGCCAACTGCGAGTCGTTCTAAACTGTACAGTGGAGAGAGCCGTGGGGGTGGGAGGTGGGGTGAAGATCATTCTGATTTCCTTGCATCATTCCATAAGGATCAATCCTATGGCGAGCAACTGCCCCTCCGTGCTTCAGCATGTTGGGTTGCTCCAGCCCTACTGCCTGTTTCCCTTTCTCCTAGAATCGGAGTCTTGGTCTGCTGTTGTTGCTTCCTAGTGATGTTGGCATTACCTTTCGCTATGGGGTTTTTCCACGTGTTTTATTACTTGGTAATTTTTTAAAAATGTGCTTTCGGAGTGTGCTGACCATCGTATTGTACTATACAGAACCCAGGTTGTTAGAGTCCAGCAGAGGTAAAGTCTGTAATGCAGCCCCCAGTTTTAAAAGTATGGTTTGTGCCAATGCCCTTTCTTTAGTAGTGCCAGAGACTCTTGACAAGTGCCAATGTGGCGGAAATTATTTGGTTATACTTGTATATTATAGGATCCTGATTTAAACATTATCCTATTTAAAAAGATACTATATAAAATTCTGTTTTTAAACCTTGTCATTTGAAATGCATGTATTGTTGTGCGTGTTGGGATGGGGGTGGGGGGAAAGAGGATTGGGAAAAGGAGTTTCTGAATAAGTTGCCCAGTGCTAGGGTCCGTTCAGGCTCCGGGCTCTTCCAGTCTAGGGGAGTGACCATTTCTTGGAACAGTCCTACTCTGGCTCCTGGGCACCGACCCTTATTACAGAAATACCTGATGGAAATTGATTTTCATATCTTTCTCCTAAAATAAATTCTCTGTTTGAAATTGGAATAAATTTTGTTCCTAAAACCTGTTCTGGTGATGTGGTGTTTGTTTGCTACTCTCCCTCTGCTCCCACCCCCAATTGGCCAAGTATCTTCTCTAGCTGGTGGGAGCTGCCTCATAAGGGTGAAGGAGCCTCTTAAATGAATTTCTGACCTTCAGTAGCATCTTGTACATGTGGGAGATGTAGTTGTCCCCATTTAATAGCTGAGGACTCTGAGGCCAGGTCTACACTAGGAGATAAGTTTGAATTAAAATATGCCTCTCCAGCTATGTTAATTGCGTAGCTGGAGTTGATGGACCTTGATTCAAACTTTGGTGCCATCCCCACAGTAGGTGGTCGATGGGAGAGATGCTCCCGTCGACTTCGCTTACACCTCACAAGGAGCAGGAGTACCAGCGCTGGTGGGGGATGCCCATAGCATTTGATTTAGCAGGTCTTTACTAGATCCATTAAATGCCAGAAGATCAACCTCCAGAGCATTAATCTGTAGGAAAGTATAGATGTGGCCTGAGGCACAAAAATAAAGTGACTTGCCAGGTGCAACAGAAGCCTTTGGAAATAGGAGAACAACGTGAGTTCTACTCCTAACTCCCCTCTGCCTGAACTATGAAATCATCCCTCCTTTAGAGAGGGGAACCAAGGGGGTTGCCTGTATTTCTGGATTTCAGTAATCTCAAGGAAGGGCTGGCTTGCACTGAAACCTTACATGGGCATAGCTCTGTGTCGGGGGGGGGGGGGGGGAAGAGGCGTGAAACCCACCTCCCTGAGAGATGTAGTCATGCCAACCTGATCTCCGGTTTAGACCATGTTTTGTTGACAGAATAATTCTTCCTCAGGTCAAGCCTGGTGTGCACTGCTCCATGTTGTTTGCTCATAAAGATGGAGGCTTGTGTGCTAGATGCTGTAATTTCACGGCTGCTTGTTTACTGAAGAAGAGTGGTCCCAGGCTTTATTGTATAACGCTTAACTAGCTGACATTGCCTTGGCATCTCAATGTTCTTGTCTGGCATGTTTAGCGATAAATGTTCTGTCTCTGGTAAGTGTGATGCAATTCCTGAAGTTTGCATGACTCAGATGCACTGCAGTTTTTTTGCACTTGGGCTACCAGATGCTAAATATAAACCAAACATAGATTGAGTTCTTGCTATTTGGGAGATGTAGTGGTCAGTGCTGTTGAGTGTATTTCCTAGCTGTCCACCAGATGTCACTAGTAACACTCAAACAAAATGTTGGTCAACTGCTTGGTAGGAAACCTTTCTCCTAACCTGTTGGGTATGGGCATGGGGAGGGGAAATAGACAAAGTACACAATTTTTTTGTATCACTATGTACATTACAGTAGCAAAGCAAACCTTTGCTTAGTGTTAGCTTTCACTTTGGGCCTGAAAGCTATGGGTAAGCATTCAGTGGGGAAGCAAAATTGTCCCTTGTTATATGGGGAGAAGCTTCAAGACTACTACTTTCATGATCACTACCATACACTCACTGGCAAGAAGATTGTTTTAAACATTCCATGGAATGGAGTTACCATGGCTTCTTGGCTGGCAAGGCTAGGAACGAGTTTATTTTGGAGAGGCTTGTTTTTCTGTAGCTGGCTTACTTCAGCCACCAACCCTCTGCTGTGGGATTCATAAAGCATCAATGCAACTCTTCTCTTCAGAGCGTGATCCAATCCAGGATGCTTCACTGTATCTGGTGTCTTCATGTAACTTTGTGCATTAACTTCTCTGATTAGTGAGTCTCACTGAATTGCTGATATCAAGAATGATGCCTCAAGATCAGGAGCACTTGGAATGGTAGGCTTTTGAAGATGCATAGTGATCTCTGGCACTTAACGGTCATTGTTCACAGGCCTTTAAAACATGGCTATGGAATATTTTATTCAATGAACAAAGTGAAATGACAAAAGTGCCCGCTGGGACATTGAACTGTTCTGTGTTTGTGCTGTGCAGTCTGGTTGTTGAGGGGGACTCCTGTATGCCAGGATGTTGTTACTATGATTAGTAGAAGCAAAGATGTAAAAACAATGAAGTCCAGTGTTCCAACCCTCCCTCCCCTCTGTGTGTCCCTTTGGAAGGGCTAATCACAGTGCTTTGCAACAGCCTGGGAAACCCTTAACAAAACTGCAAAGTAAAAATGAAAATGGAAGGTGTTGGAAGAGGGGGGGAGAACTTGGATGCTCAACATCCCCCAACCTTAATTGCTTTAATTTTTATTATGTAAAATCCCTTTGACAATTGAAACAGTCGTGTGCAACATTTAGCAAGGGGGCACGTTCCTTGCCCTGAAGAGCCTACATCTTGAAATGGAAGGCTGCCTCCTGGAGACTTTTACAGTTCCTCAGGCATTTGCTATCTTCAAACACTTCATACTACTCCAGCACCAAGCTGATTTCCAAGGATGACAAACACAAGGCTGCAGCCTAATCCTGGAAACCTCTGTATAAATGAGTCTTAACATCAGCGAGGCTACTCATACGAAGTAAGGGGTACAGGCAGAGAACGTAAGTTGGCACCTATTCTTCTGAAAACTTCCAGCCTCTTGAAAGCTACTTTGGTATAGTGTGGTAATGCTCAGGAGCCTCCACTTGTGCTAGGCATCATGTAAACAGAAATATAAAAGCCAGTTGCTACCAAAGAGCTTTCAGTTTATCTGAGCATGCTTATTGGTCTCTTCTGAGCAATACCTCAAGCCAGCTTTCTAAACAAGCTGTTAGAACTCGGTTTTTGCTTTGCAGTTCTCTGTTAAGAATAGAGATTAAAAGTTGTTTAAAAATACTTAACAAATAGGAATTCCTGGCTCAGTTGAGCAACTCATTTATTCTAGCTAGCATGTGGTTAATTCAGCCTTCATTAGGAAAGCACTTTGAATACATACCACAGTAACTTAGCTGTCCATTTAAAAAGCTCATTTGAAAGAACATAAGCTGCTAGTGGCCAAAAGAGGGCAGCACTTACTTAAACTCCAGCCCAATCTGCCCTTTGAGGCCAATGTCAAAAGTCGTAGTTGAAAAGCTTCAGGGCGTAGCAGAGTTAGTCTGTGCAGGATAAACTTAAACAACAAAAGGTCTGGTACCACTTTATAGACAAACAACATGTAGCACTGTCTACAGAGACAGCTGCTAATAACTTGTGTTACAGTCTTTTCCTCCAGTCATGCTGGCTCATAAGGCTTTTTAAGGAGTTTGAAATATGGGACAAGCTAGAAATTACTTTATATTGTAAATGTATTGAGGCAGGGTTTATTTCGTGTGTGTGTGTGTGTGTGTGTGTGTGTGTGTACAGCGCATTACACAGTAGGGTACAGGTCTCAGGATGGGACTCCTAGCCATCACTGACACACAATAACTTAAAGGGTTGGGAGCCACACACGTGTGTGGTGGTGGTGGGGGGGGAAGGGGGAGTCATGTTCATTGACATGGCTGCCGACTGAGAAGGAGAAAAACACTCCCCACGTTCCCCTCTCACATCAGAGTCTGGTGGGGCCTAGGCTGGTAGATTTGTGTGTGCACCAGTTCTGTAGGGAGATTGCAAGGGGCTGGAGCACCAGTGTGGGTTCCCCAATACTAAGAGGGGGCAGCCCTGAGCTCCAGGAACCAGATCCAGGCAAGCGGGGGGGCAACATCTAGCCCCCCCCTTAGGTTTTCCACCCCGAACTAAAAGATCAAAAAGGTGACGGGGAGATGAACTTTAGACACAACTAAATTTTCAAACCAGACTCATTTTTATCCCTTTGTAATATGAAAAAAAAGTCAGTTGACAAATACGCTTCAAAACATAAGACAAAGGAGACTATTTTGTTTTTTCTGTTATCTGGCTACTTTCAGGCCAAGTGAATTTCCAAACCCAACGTAACAGAGGAGGGCTTTAGAATGGAAGCTAATTACAGCCTTGGGACGGATTTACAAAGGTATTTAGATACCTAACTCACTTAGCACCCTGTGATCTTTATTAGTCTCTTTATAAATCTCACATCTTCTCTGTAACTGCCCTTCCATAATTCCAGTGTTTTAGAACAATCTACTTGTGTTGGATTTTCCGTTGCAGAGGAGACACCGTGCTAGTGCCATACAATTAAACTACAGAATCAAATGGGCAAGAGGGATGGTTCTACACCTGGTCTACACCAACTCATATTTGCCTAAATACATCGCTCCAGACTGTGTGTGTGTGGGGGGGAATCTGATTGCCTAAATACATCGCTCCAGACTGTGGGGGGGGCGGGGGAAATCTGTGTGTTGTACAGTTTAATTAGGTCGACCTAACACCTACACCCCTGCCACAGCTAGGTTCTCACATTTTTTCCACTGACGAGCTACTACCTCTTGGAGGGATGGACATCAATTCCACTTTGGTAGGAAACTACCATGTAGCACTGTAGTATAAGCCATACCTTTATTTCCTCATGTGCCTGACTGCCTCTTCTCCCACTGGCCCAGCCTCATTGCTTGGCTATGAATCATGCTTGATGCATCAGCTGTCCAGACATCCTGTCAGATTTGTGACCTCCCTCAAGGCCCCAACTTTAATTCTTTTCTCCTGTGGAGCTGGCTTTTTTCATGGATCGCTGCAGCTGTCAGTTATAGGCTGATGTGGCATAAAGAAAAGCTCTAACTATGATAGGGGCTGAGTAAGAGAAACATGCATTCTCGCCAAAATTTTGGCCTGGACATCTCACAATGGCAAGTCCTTCAATAGATGCTTCTGATGTCTTCCTTTTTTTATTTATTTCCAGTGGCAGTGGAAATATGACCAGGTTTTCTGAATGGATCTTATTTCCAGTCCTCAGCAAATCTGGGATGTTTAGAAGCGCACACAAGAAAACAAAAACCAAATTGAGCTGGTTCTGTTAGCATCAGTTCTAAGTGGACAGGTGTTCCCATTACAAACCACCTCCACTCTCTAGTTCACTCTCTAGTGCTGAAGTGGCTGTTGGCAAACTGGTTCATGCAGACTTAATCCCCTTCTTGTGTCCGGTTCAGTGCTGATGAACCTCACAGGTGAGTGAGGAGGGACTGAAAGCTGTCCCTATGACTGCCAGTGTTTGTCCTGGGGGGATGTAGAGGCAGAACAGTCATAACAGTCCCATTGACCAGCAGGAAGTTCACATGCTTGTTATCTGAACTTGTAACTTGGAGACTCTTGCATTTGTTTTTTATTTCAAGTTTTCTACACAGTTTCTTGACTGACTTCTCGTTTCATTCCCACTGAGTGTTTCACTTCCATTGTGAATAAACAGAAACCAAACCAGGCTGCCCTTCCCATGCGTGCATGAATCAACCCTGGATTTCATGGGCTCTCGCTGCTTGTAGAAGCCAAGGGATGGCTGTTTTTATGGTCTGCTTCTCTGTCTTACTCAGATCAAGTGGTACCTTACTCTGTCCCTAGTCCCATTGGCGGTCTGCTTCTCTGTCTTACTCAGATCAAGTCCCATTGGTGCTATTAGGGCTACTTGCAGAGTCAGCCAGTTCTCACCATGCATAAGGGTAATACAATTAGCCCCTAGTGCTGATGTTTCTGCAGCACTCTGAGATCCTTGTGTGATGCAAAGAATAATCTTTCTGCAAAATGTTCATGCTTGATCAGCCCAATGTCATGTAAGCGGGGGAAACTGAAAGAGGGGTGTCACAATGCCAAAGAGAGAGTGATCACCAGAGGTGGGGTGGCATAATTTTAAGAACTCCGAGCTTTAAATTGTGAGTCTGTTCTCCTCCCCTCCTTGGGCAGGAGGATGTGATATTTACAATGAGGAAGAAGAAAGTTGTTTGTGCTATTTCATGTGAACAGGGAGGGGGGGTGAGTAATGCTCTGCATTAATCCAGGCCTGTGAAAGGGGGGAGGGGAGTGAGTTCCTCTAAATGGGAGGGTTTTTTATTCATCACTGTTCCTGACAGAGAGCTCTCATGGTTTAAGCAAGGCAGAGAGAGGCATCTCTGTCTTGGAAACTGGACTTGTCTAAGGAAGGAGCATTTCAGCGAGGTTGAATTTTGGTTGGGGAAGGAGATTTTAATCATCATCCTGAGGGAATTTTAAATCGAGCTCATTTGAACACACCTTGGAACAGATCTTCTGTCTCCCCTCCCCCATCCTTTCTTACTTGATTTGATACGAGAAGTTCTGATTTCCTTTCATCTTCAGAAATCAGCCAGTCTGCAGCTAACGTTTGTGGATCTGTAGAACGTTTAAATTTGATTCGAGGAGTGGTGCAGAGAAGTCTCTTTGCCAGAAAGTACAGGAAAAAAGGCGTGCATGAATTTAATCGATTGGGTTCGAGGGATGAGTAATCCCCCACCAGAAGCCTTTGCTACCAACTGTTCTCCGAGAAGCTGCGCTGAAGAGTACTTGAGCAGAGTCCACAGCCGCTGAGGTCTGAGCATGTGTGAAGAGCTCACTAAGCACACCTTAGCCCAATTTAAATTGGCGCTGTGGCAGCTACGCTCTGTCTTCATTTTACTGGCCCTGGGGGATGCCTGTGTATTGCAGGACAAAGTAAAGCTACTTCTCTGGGCTCTCAAGTGTATTGTGTGTCTCCACTTTCCTCCTCAGGATCAGAGTTTTCCTGCACCATGCCTTGGTGCTTCTGCTGCTGTCGGAAGTGCCCCTGCTTCCTTTCGGAGGACGATAAAGCTGCTATCATGTTAAATAAAGAAATCAGCAAAATACTAAGAGACCAGAAAATGCAAGACAAGAAGGAGTTAAAGTTACTTCTACTAGGTGAGTTACTATTGTCCACACAGCTTTGTTTACGTTGGATGACAGCTTGGTGGAGAATGATGGGGGGAAGACCCGGGGGGGTGTGCGTGAGCAATAATGAGGGATTTATGCATTTTAGCCAAAGGGGAGGAATGAAGGTAGGTCTCCCCCAAATCTCTCGTGTCCAAAGATTCCTTCATGCCTCCTCTCCACCCCTCATCACTCCTGCATTGCAAAAATGGCTTTTCCTCCTCATGTGGGAGAGTTGTTGCAGATGCACACCAACTTTGCTCCAAAAGAATGAGCATACGGCCATCACCAGTCCCTGCTGTTCAAGGGAAAGGTGAGTTGTGGCTCACAAGAGCGTGTCCACAATAAAATGGTTAAGTCTGTAAGGTGCCACCAGACTCTTTAGAACATAAGAACGGCCATACTGGGTCAGACCAAAGGTCCATCTAGCCCAGTAGCCTGTCTGCCGACAGTGGCCAGCACCAGGTGCCCCAGAGAGGGTGGACCGAAGACAATGATTAAGTGATTTGTCTCCTGCCATCCCTCTCCAACCTCTGACAAACAGAGGCCAAGGACACCATTTTATCCCCTGGCTAATAGCCTTTTATGGACCTAACCTCCATGAAATTATCTAGCTTCTCTTTAAACTCTGTTATAGTCCTAGCCTTCGCAGCCTCCTCTGGCAAGGAGTTCCACAGGTTGACTGCACACTGTGTGAAGAAGAACTTTCTTTTATTAGTTTTAAACCTGCTCCCCATTCATTTCATTTGGTGTCCTCTAGTTCTTCTATTATGGGAACTAATAAATAACTTTTCTTTATCAGCCCTCTCCACACCACTCGTGATTTTATAGACCTCTATCATATCCCCCCTCAGTCTCCTCTTTTCTAAACTGAAAAGTCCCAGTCGCTTTAACCTCTCCTCATATGGGACCCGTTCCAAACCCCTCAGCATTTTAGTTGCCCTTTTCTGAACCCTTTCCAAGGCCAAAATATCTTTTTTGAGGTGAGGAGACTCCTTGCTTTTGCTGAAACATGGCTACCCCTCTGAAACCTGTCTTTAGTATCAGTGAAGGGAAGAATTGGCCCAGCAGGCCCAAAGTTCTCCATTTACAGCCCTACTGATGACAGTACACTGCTCCACAGCCCCTGCAATCCAGGTCCTTTTTGCTGAGGCTGCAGCACATGCGTAGATTTCATTTAACCCTTTCCCTGCCATGGGAGGGGACCATGAGCACTTCTGTCCCCCTGTTCTCAGATTCTGGCACAGAATAGCCTAGTCTCTTGCTGGCCATAATTCATGATCTCGCTCCGTTGCTGGGTTTAGTGTGCGAGTACTAGGTGCTATTGGTGCCCCATGAAACCCAGTAGGTGAGACAAGATGGTCCCTTCTGGCCTTAAAGTCTGTGACGCTGAGTTCCCCTACTAGGTCCATGACGCCATCTGTCCCCAGAAGCCCAAGCGCTGTCTCCTGTCTGCAGGCGCTGGGGAAAGTGGGAAGAGCACATTCATCAAACAGATGCGGCTAATCCACGGGGCAGGCTATTCAGAAGAGGATCGCAAAGGCTTTGCCACACTGGTGTATCAGAATGTCTTCGCTTCCATACAGGCCATAATCCGAGCCATGGAGACTCTGCAGATCCCTTATGCTCAGCCAGAGAATGTGGTGAGTGAAACAGGAGGGTGGGCTGGACAGGGAGACCCCTACTGGAACTTGCCTAGGCTGCCAGACGGTGAGGATGCAGGAGGATGCTCCGGCTGGATGTTCCCTGGTTGTAAGTGGACATGGTGCCCTTCCAGACGATGGAGCTGTGCCGATTGTCAGCTGAGGATCGGTGCTCCACCTGCCCTCCAAACGGTGCCTACTAGAAGGCAGCCATGGAGGAACAAAGCCAGTCCGAGCAGGAGAGCCAAGGGTTGGGAGTGCGGAATAAAGGAAGGTTTTGCAACAGGCCAGTGTATTCTAGAGCTGCTCTGTTAAGAGCTGGAGACCAAGTGAGTAGTCCTTGGTGGCTCCTCTGCAGAAGCCATGGCTCATTGTCCAGGGAAGAGGCACAACCTCCTCCCCCCGCCCCAGGCTAAGGAGACCAGACAGGAATTTTCCTGCTTACTGACTTCCTGTGTGACTCTGATTAGGTCACTTGGCCTCCCTATGCCTCAGTTTCCCCTTTGTGACCTGGAATACTCGCACTGCCCTCCCTTCCAGGTAAAGATAAATGCACTAAGGACGGGAGGATGCTCAGATGCTCCAGTAATGAATGTGGATGGAAAGCAGAGTCCTAGATTACATAGCTAGGGCTAAAGGGCAAATTGGAGGCAGGTCCCTGACTAGAACCCAGGAGTCCTAGCTCCTAGTCTCATGTTCAATGCACTAGACCCTCTCCCCTCTTAATAAACCCCCCCGCTTTCAACTGGTTTGGTCTGTCCTTGCAAGGTGCGGCGCGAATTTTCCTTGGGAAGCTCCTAAGAAGGTTGCTGCTCCTGCTCTATGTAACTCTTCTCCCCCATTCGCCTGTTTCTAGGAGAACGCCAGGCTGGTCATGGGGGTGAATGTCTCGAACGTGGTGACCTTTAGCAGGCCCTATTCAAACGCCATTGAAAGCCTGTGGAGGGACGCGGGGACCAGGACCTGCTACGAGAGGCGGCGGGAGTATCACTTACTGGACTCTGCCCTTTAGTGAGTTACCCCTGCTGGCTGGAACGTGGGCGTGAGACCTCTGCTGCTGGCATGGCGGGAAACGGCTTTCCTGGGCTTTTAACTTCCCTAGTGTTGCAGGGTTACAGGACAAAAGGGGGGTATACTAGGTAAGGTGGAGTGTGCCCCATGGGAGGGGGCTAACAGAATTGCTGGGCCCATGGGCAAAATGTGTGTGGAGAGGGGGATGCTCTGTGCTCCCCGAGGGGGCAGGGCTGGATCTAGCCTCCAGCAGCCGGTCGTTCAGCGCTGCCCACAGTGCACCGTCCAGTAGCGACAGTGGCAGCCAAGAGTTCTGGCCCCTTTTGAATTGCCAGGCTCCTGGGCAGCTGTCACTGTTACCTCCCGCCGCAACCCTCATCAGCAGGCCTCTGTGGCCCACTGCATGGAGCATAGGGCTGGAGTCAGATGACCTGGGTTGTTCTTAGCCTGACCGGCTCTATGACCGTGAGCAAGTTCCTTCCCCTCTCTATGCCTGTCTCCTCTTCCACTTGTCCTATCTGTTTCATCCGGTAAAATATTCGGGGCAAACGCTGCCTTTTGCTACGGGTACATGCAGTGCCTAGCACAGCACAATCCTAGCGTGGGCTGCGGGCTGTGGAGATGCACCTAATACACGCTATTATGTTTCAATAGGGTTTGCATTTTTCATTAAATATTTAAACACCCCTTTTTTGGTTTTGTGTTTGTTCATGGCCTGAAGAACTAATGAACTGTAAATCACCTCCCGAGTCCAACCAGGTGTGGAAACCGCCTGGCTGATTTCTGGCCAAACACTGACCTGACATTTTCTGGGCTTTGCTCATCTGCGATAAAGGGCTGCAGGCTACCGCAAGCTCTGCCTAGCCTGCTATGCCTTAATGTGAAAGGGTGATGGTTATGTGGTCAGAGCACAGGGTTGGAAGCCAGGACTCGGGGGTTCGATTCGCTGCACTGCCTCTCTCCACGTCTGCCTTGCTTCTCCTCCCGTCTGCGGCTACGGAGACACTCATTGGATTACTGGAGGGTCTGAGGGTTCTGTAAAGGGCTTGGAGACGCTCTCGTGTGAGATGCCGAGGGGACTGACTTCCTCGTTTCTTTGATGTCCTGTAGCTTTCTGTCCAGCCTGGAGCGTATTGCAGAGGACTGTTACATCCCCACGACTCAGGATGTCCTGAGGAGCCGCATGCCGACGACCGGCATCAGTGAATACTGCTTCTCGATGCAGGAGATGATCTTAAGGTGAAGCTCCTGCAAAGCAGTCAAACCTGCATGGGGTTCCCTGCCCTGTCTTTGCTGCTGTTCCTGCATGGATCCAATACACGTCCTCTGGATGCCAGTGAGGGCCCGTGTAAGCAGCTAGGTTAGGACCTCCTGGTTCCCCTCAGGCTGGGTGGTAACCAAACCTGATAGACCAGCATGTCTCTCCAGTCTGCCTTCTTCCCTCAGTCAGGCCTCCTATCCCCTCCAGCTTCAGGTAGGTAAATCCCAACCCTGGTGTAGCTGTGGCATTGCTGTCCTCCACCCCAGAGCTGGCTGCTTGATGCCAGTGCTGACCGTACTGCACCTGGCTTTGGGACGCTTCCGGAGCAAAGGGAGGCCTATAAATGCTAAGCACTAGGAGTTAGTCCTTTTCAAAGGCAGCTGTGCCCCTGCAGTGTGACTAGTGCCAGCATGTGGCTGCTAACCACCCTGGCTCCCGGCAGGATCGTGGATGTGGTTAGAAAATGTCATTGCCTTGATCTACCTGGCTTCCCTCAGCGAGTACGACCAGTACCTGGTGGAGAACAGCGAGGAGGTGAGGAGTCCGAAGGAGATGTGCCGGCGTGGAGGGGGAGGGGGGCGATTTTACCAGTAACCTTCCCTGCCACACAGCCTGGGCACCTTAATCTCACCTGCAAGCCCCTCTGGGCAGGCACCAGCTGTCTGGCTCAAGGGACTGCCTCCCTCCCTGCAGCCACATTCCTTGTGAGTCTCTTCGCATGCTCACTGAGATTCGAAGAGGTGAGGGGCTGATGGCTCAGTCTGTCTTCCTACCCCCATGCAGAATCGGATGAGGGAGAGCCTGGCCCTGTTCAGAACCATTCTGGAGCTGCCCTGGTTCCAGAACGTCTCTGTGATCCTCTTCCTAAACAAAACCGACCTCCTGGAGGACAAGATCGCTGACTCGGACCTTGCCACTTACTTCCCTAGCTTCTCAGGTAACTCCCGTATTGAGGTGCCGCTTCAAACCTGCTGCGTGAAAACCAAGGCTTTGGGGGCACTCGGGGTCCGGAGACGGTGCTTGTAGAGCCTTTGGGTGGCCCTTTCGAGAGCAGATCTGGAGCAGATATTCCCCAGTCTCTGTTGCAGGAAGAGCTATGTGTGAACTTCTCCTCTGTGGTCCTCCCATACTTAAGTTGTCAGAGAAGTCTCCCAGTACCACAATTCCCTTCCCCGCTGTTTTCTTACTGAGTTACTTGCCTTATTGGCATGGAGAGAAATGGGGTGAGGGGTGACCCTTGTGTTCTCGGCCATAGCTCTGGTCCAGAATCTCCCTGGTTCCAGCTAGTAAAACTTAAATATCTCTAACGTGTGTGTGGCGGTTCAGGGACAGCGCTGTGAGATCTCTTTGCTGTTTGTTGGCACAGCATCTAGCACAATGGGATGCTGATCTTTGACTGGGATTGCCTGGCACTAGCTTAAAATGAATAATAAAGGTTTTGTTGCCACTTATCTACTGGGGAATGCCCCGCCCACCATCACTCATGCAGAGAATGTCCCTGAATGTTGATTACCACTCCAGTGACTTCCCGTTCTGCCCTGTATGACAGCGCCAGCCTGGTTGCTAGGTGAGAAGCCCTGCTGAGATCTGTTCTTGTACTACGCCAGGACCCAAGCGAGATGCAGAGGCAGCAAAGAAGTTCATTCTGGAGATGTACCTGGACACATACAAGCAATGCTCTGCTGTCTATCACGACTCAGGACGAAGATCCTCCAAGGTGGCCTCCAAATTCAGGTGCCTTTATCGACACTACACCTGTGCCACGGACACTCAAAACATCCGCAAGGTCTTCATGGACGTCAGGGATGTAGTCTTGGCTGGCTATTTGGAAGACATCAACCTGCTGTGATGGGAAAGGGCTTCGGCCAGGTCCATGCTGTGGTGCTTGGCTTTGCCGGTGAGCAAGGGGAAGAATCAGCTGGGTGTTGGAACAGTGCACTTTGGCTGCAGCTGCTGCTGTTGGTAATAAGAACGGCTGTACCGGGTCAGACCAAAGGTCCATCAGGCCCAGTATCCTGTCTGCCAAGAGGGTGGACCGAAGACAATGATCAGCGATTTGTCTCCTGCCATCCCTCTCCAGCCTCGGACGAATAGAGGCCAGGGACACCACTTCTATCCCCTGGCTAATAGCCTTTTATGAACCTCCATGAAATTATCTAGCTTCTCTTTAAACTCTGTTATAGTCCTAGCCTTCACAGCCAATGTGCCCTTGGAACATTCCCCGGATGCTGTGTTTGGCCGGGAGCAGACCAGGTTCTGGGAGTGTGTGGGGAGAGGTCTCCAGAGACTCATCCATGGAGCTGCCTTTCTCATGGTGTCCTGCCAGAGTCCCTGCAGGGCTGCCTGCACAATGCCACCTCTGTGGTCAGTGTTGCCCCTTTCTGCCAGAGATGGACCCGAACCCCAGCACTGACCCCAGGGAGGAATGGGGAATAGCTCCTACGATGGATTTTGGCTTTTTAAAGGTCTATTTTCTCCCACCCTCCTTGCCGGTGAGGGGCTGCATTGTGTTGGGCTGTCTGGCCCCCGCTTTGCTTTTATTGACGATTTATTTGTTTGATGTGGCTTTAGCACTAGGAAGATGTATTGAACTTGAGAGTCCCGGAGGCCAAACTTCCTTGTTTAACCGCAGGCCAGGGATAGCCTGCCCCAGCACTAGCCAGTCAAAGTCCCACTGCTCGGACCTGTGGGGTCCACTTTTAAAGATGAGGGGGGAGTTGGACCACCCCTGCTCATTCAGCCGTTGGCCTCCTCCGCTTTCTTGTAGGCTGGCTGGGCTTTGCAAGGAGCTGAAACCATCTAGAATCCCAGGAAGCTATAGCCTAGCATGGTGTTTCTCAGCCAATGGTACGAGTACTCTTAAGAGTACTGAGAGAAATCTGGGGGGCACTTCACCACAACTGAAATTTGGAGAACTGAATTTTTGTGTTTTACAGCCCTTTATTATTTTTGTACTTTTTACACCCAAAAATTTCATTGCCTGCCCGGCTATAATTAAGTTTTTTAAACAAATGTTGTTGTAATGGTAGAGAAAAAATTGTCTGGAAACTGTAAGTACTGGGAGTACTTATAATTCTTTGAAATTTGGGTGCTTTATTAAAAAGGGGGGGGGGGTTGAGAAACACTGGCCTAGCAAAGCACCACGGTAAATGTCCGTGTGCTCTGATGCTCAGAGAACGGCTTGAGTGGTGATGAGAGCTTGTCTCTTTCAGCTGCAGGGAGACCGCCTCGCTGTGAAGGAGCGTGAACTTCTGCATTGGGAGCTAGAGTGCAAAACTGTCTCTTCCCCCTTCAGCCAGGAGACCCAGCGTGGGTGTCTGAGCATGGGTGTTCAGCCAGAGCAGAGGGGTTGATTCAATAGGGACTGTTAAAAAGCAATCTTCCTGAGGGCAGAGGAAAATTGTTAATCCCAATCAATGCTCTTAGGCTTGTCTGTGGTTCTCTCCCTTCTGGTGTATGCAAACCATACTACAGCATCTCTTTAAGGAGCTTTCTAGTTCATATCTTTGCACTGACGCAGGCTTTCTGCTGAAATGTGAAATAAAGAGGAACTGACTTATCTGACACTTCCGCTCCTTTGCATGTATTTTGGTACAACTTCTCTGGATCGGGTTCTGTTCCAGACTCTGCCACTGACTTGCTCTGTGATCATGGGCAAGTTGCAGTGCTGGTCTGTGCCTCAGTTTCCCCATCTGCAAAATGATGAGGCTATATTCTACTTCCTTCCCACAGAGTAGCAGTGGAGTGTAATGTCTTCCTGGAGTATAGGTGCTTTTGTAAATGACAATTAATGATGACTCTTAAGAATGTGGTGGCTTAGTTAAATGCTCTTGTAGTTAAAGCTATCTGACCAAACATGGTGGATTCTCCACCTCTGGGTGTCTGCAGATCAAGATGGGGTCCCTTCCTGGTAGATATTCTGCAGTTCAACACCTGTCTTGCTCAATGCAGGGTTAACTGAGTAAACCTCCATGGTAGTGATGGTGGAGAGGTTACTCAAGAGATGAAACAACACTCTTCTAGTTCCTTCTGGTCTTAAAAATCTGATACATCAACTTGATGGATTGTGTTGATACATTTATTCAGGTTGTTTCTTAGCATCTCGAGTACATGCTATAAAGTGATCTGTGACTGAAGAGAGGCTGAGGGTCCCAGGAGATAAATACTGAGCTGAGATTCAAGAGACCAGAGTTCTGATCCTGTTCCTGGTTCTGCCACTGGCCTGCTGGGTGTCCCTGGGCAAGTTACAATATCTCTGTGCCTCAGTTTCTCCACTGGTAAAATGAGGCAGCCCTCTTTTGTAAAGTTGAAAAATGTTAGGTAAGAGCTAGGGATTCCGATCAGTGTTCCCAAATGCTAATCTAACCTGGGGTCAGGGATTTTTCCCTGGTTAGATCCCTCCCAGTTCACACTTAGAACTTTACAGACTTGCATGTCTTACACAGACAGTCAAGAATCGATTTCATGTCATGTTAACTAGATTTTTTTTCCAGCCCCTTTAATAGAGACCTCTGGGTGACACAGTCAGCTGAAAAATACCTCTCCCTTGGAGTTAAAAGCACCAGTGCTGATGCTGTGTGTGGCTGGGATTTTCAAATCTCTCCCCCCCCCCCCCCCCACGTTGGGGAGTGGCCATCTGTGGGGACCCCTGGAGTGGAGCGGCTGCTTCTCCCCTGAGAACTGAGTGCGCAGCCTGCTTGAAAATCAGGCCCAAGGTGTGTCAAGACTAAAATGAGAAGCCAGTTTGGAAGAAACTTCAGCGAAAACACATAGGAACCTGCGCATGTTTTTTGGTGGCAGTCTGCTTGCACTTGCTAATAGGGAAACCCCATCTGCTTTTCTCAGGGATATTTGGTTAACAGAGGTGCTTCTTTGAGAGCAAGGGTAGCTCTATTCACAGTGCTAGGCTGGTCTTGCAGTGAAAGCACTGGACTGGCATTCAAGCAGTAATCCCTGGAAGCTGAGCACTTGTGAGGCCACCTAGGAGAGATTCTAATGCTGCCCAGCTGATTAGCAGCGCCCTCAGCTAGGTTGTTTTCTGCTGGTGGTGCACATTTGCACCTGCCTCAGTGCACATAACAAAACTTATTCTACACATGGATGGAAAAAATTATCCAGAACATTGTTCAAGTACTGAGTTCAGTTTCCAATTCAGTCACATATGCCCCATTTCTCATTGGACCAACCCCTCTATGGCTTCCCTCAATGTCTGAAACATTCCTTACATAAATTAGGAGAAGATTAGTGTTTCCCTGAGCCAGGCTTGTCTACCCTGTACCTGCTTTGGCAGTGTAGCTAAGCTGGCAGAGCCCCCTAGTGTAGCTGCTGTGCGATGCTGGTGACTAGTCCACCTGCCTCCTTTGAGCAACTTTCCATGTGTCCTTGGGAGCCTTTGGGGTGGGCGTTGGTGCAGTGCCCCATTTTGCCAGCCCTGCTGCCTGTTGGTGGGATGATTCTTTTCATGCTCCTTGCCCATGTACGGACGCGGGCAGAACTTTGTAGTGTAGACGTAAGCCCCAGCTTTAGCTGTGAATGAGACTCAGAGTGGGAATAACCCTCAGCTTTTCTCAGTCTGACACTCCCAGAGTGATGTCTGGAAACGCGAGGCAATAAGACTCCTAGCAGAAGAGCACTTTGAAATGCAGCAGAACGTTTATTTTTCATGCTCTTGACAATCCAGCAAGACAGCAACAAGGAAGGAATGAAGCTGTGATCAGACCAGGGGCTATGCATGAGTGGAGGCATTAATTCTGACTTGCTGGGGAGGGGCACAAGCTCCTGCCAGAGTTGGGAATATTGGCCTGAATTCAGAAACGTGCAGGATGGTGTAAGTTAGGCTCCCTTATGCCTGCTGCTCTGGTTACCTGCACTCCTGTTCCCCATGTCTAGTGCAGCTACCAGGGGAAGCCCTAATGTAGACCTGCCACCGGAGTCTGAGCAGATCTACATGATGTTGAACAGACCTGGGAGCTAGCCCTGCCCTGCACCGCACCGCACCTTGGCTGCGTCTAGACTGGCAAGTTTTTCCGCAAAAGCAGCTGCTGTTGCGGAAAAGCTTGCAAGCTGTCTACACTGGCCACTTGAATTTCCTCAAGAACACTGATGATCTCATGTAAAATAGTGATAGAAATGTAGCCGTGTTAGTCTGGTGTAGCTGAAACAAAATACAGGACTATGTAGCACTTTAAAGACTAACAAGATGGTTTATTAGATGATGAGTTTTCACCCACGAAAGCTCATCATCTAATAAACCATCTTGTTAGTCTTTAAAGTGTTACATAGTCCTGTATTTTGATCTCATGTAATATTGTCAGTGTTCTTGCGGAAATACTATGCTGCTCCCATTCGGGCAAAAGCATTTGCACAAGAGGGCCAGTGTAGACAACGCGGTATTGTTTTGCGCAAAAAAGCCCCGATGGCAAAAATGGCGATCGGGGCTTTCTTGCACAAAACCACGTCCCCAGATTGGCACTGACGCTTTCCCGCAAAAAGTGCTTTTGCAGAAAAGCATCCGTGCCAATCTAGATGCTCTTTTCTGCAAATGCTTTTAACGGAAAAACTTTTTGGGTGGACATTAAGACCCAGAGGTTCCCCAAATTTTTGCATGGCCCATGGAGCTGTGTATTCTGCATAAGGGTAAGGATGGCTCTGTAGGTACTTAATCTCTTAACCTATATGCACCCCACTGGAGTTTAAAATGTGATGCCCACTAAAGTTGTCTACCACCTTCCCACTGGGGTGTAAGCTGCAGCCATAACATTACAAACCTTGGCGTTTGCATGTCTAAAGGGATTTATCTTTTCTGAGGAAGACAAAAGTGGCATCACATCTTTTCTTAGCTCTAAATTGCCACTCGGCTTTCCAGAATAGGGAGGGGGAAGAGCTACAAGCTACAGCACAAGGAAACGCCAGCTTTCAAAGGCTGCCACTTGTGCAGGAGAAGATTTGGCTTCTTTTCTGCTTACTCCTTCATGATCTCCCGAATCCAGGGGATGTAGGAGGCAATGCGAGTGTAAAAGCCAG